CTGTTTCACCAGCCTGTAACAAGGGGTGTCAGTGCAGTTCTTAGCAGTTGACTGTCGACATCAAAGCTGCTGCATCAAAAGAGGGTAAATTCCTAATTCTCTACTTCAGGCTTTGTCTAAGGTGTAGATATCTGACAGCACAGCTCTGTGCTGGGCAGGGGTGTGAAAAGGTTTGAATGCTGCATAACAGCTGTATTGGTAGAAGCTCTCAACATAGTTGCTGTTTTACCAGAAAACCTGTACTTTTCCTGGTATAGATTGTTTCCCTTAGCAGGGTGTGGGGTATATTTGTTACAGTGATACACAGTGCAACTTTGCTGGTTTTTGTCCATTTTGCAAGTATCCCATACTGGTGTTTCTAGACCGACAAAGTGGTCTTAGCGTAGACCTAGGTTTTCAATAGTGGGGCCCACAGATTAGATCTGGGGTAGGACATACAAGCGGGGAAAGTAGCTCATAGTATAGGAGTCTTCTGCTGCTGTTATGTCATTTCTCTTCTCTGCTTGTGAGACTGCTAAATAATGAAGTTACTGTAAATTGAAAAAAGAATGCCACTGAGCAGGTAGGAGCAAAACTTCACTCAAATTGTGCCCATGTAGCTACTGCAGGATTGTTGTCACCTTTATAGCATTAACCCAACCACACCATGCAGCTGAGCTCTGTAACAGTCCAAGTGGAGCTTAGGAAAGTATTGTGCATGATATAAGGAAACAACCTATAGGAAGCACTGCTTTATATTGAATCACAAAATTATTCTTTGCCCTCTAGCAAAAGCAAACAGTTGGCCAAATTATAGACTGATACAGCCACTTCTTGGCTTAGATTGCAGCTAAGTTTGAGCATGATTCCAGCACCCCCACTCTCCAGCCTTCCCAGTTCTCAATTCACAAGTAAAGGAATGGCCTCATAACTATAAGCTAGATCTGGAGTCACCTTATATATGAATTGGACATTTTTTTCATGAATTGTGTACTGGTTTGAATGCCTAACACTCTTTGCTCCTTATAAGAAAAGAATTAGGCTTAACTGCACTTTCCTACAAGGTTTAGTGTACAGTTATCAGAATTATTTGGTTAGATCAATTTTTAAAAAATAAGAACATTTGTAAAGATCAGCTGCTCAGACAGAATTAATGTGGGGACTGAAGGTTTTGAAGCTGTTTCCTGGTAAAGAACACCATTCTCACTGTAAACCAGTCATACAGGAGGGTTCTTGATGGACATTTTTAAATTTCTTTTAATCAAAATGTAAGGTGGATAACCTCTTTTCCAATATAAACCTCAGTTTTTGGTGTGTGCGTGTTTCTATCTCCACCTCTCTTCCTCCCCCGAGTCTCTGTTCCTTGTATGTACTCTGGAAATCTGTAAGAAGGGGGAGACTTGGAGGGATGGAGAGGACAGGTGGTGTATGAGTGGAGCACAGGAAGGTTGCAAAAAATTGGCAATTCCATTTGTATCTAAAAGCTTTGTTTGTACCAGCTACTAAATGTTTGTTTGCTGCAGCCTTTGCAAGCCCTATACTAATTTGGGGGTTTTCCTGAGCTTTAGAGTTGTTGAAGCACATGGGTGACCCCTTCATGAGCCTCTGAAACTAATGGTCCCTTGAGAAAGGCTTCTGTGTCTTCTGAGAGTGCAATGAATAGAGCTTGGCTTTGGGGATTTGAATTGGCATCAGCTACCCACCGTCTCCTTGGAAGGTTCAAGTGGCAGATGGGGTAGGGGTTTGGTGAAGATGGGCTGTGACCCTCTTAAGCCTTGTGGGCAGGTTGGGGCCATGTTTAAACTCTCAAGGCTTGCTGAATGTAGTTTGGAGCCATCTTGTTTACATCCCACCATCTGCAGGTGATGGATTGCCCACCTGGTGATCTTATGTGCATGAATGAGGTTCCCTTCCTACCTAAGGAGGAGAGCTCCAAACCTTGTTCCCTTTCCTTTATGGGACAAGTTTAAAGAAGAGGTTTTGGTTTAATTCCTTTAACTTCTAAGGGTCCCTATACACGAGCAGGGAGGCTGCTCTGATGCGCTTAATCAAGTCTGCTGGAGCATGGCAGTTACAGTGCTTCAGCAGCCTCCCGCGTCTTGTGTATCAACATCCCTGTGCTTCAAAATGGCGGTGGAGGCACTTTATCTAAAGCTCTTGGAGCCGCTCTAATTAAGGTGCCCCTCTCCCCTCCCCACTCCTAGAGCACAATTATAAATGCCTTAAGGTGCCACTTGGCCCTACCTTCTTCCTTAGTCCCATGATAAAGTTGAGGTTGCAGATTGATTAATGCTATGTGTTTTCTGGGGGGGTTGTTTGTTTTTGTTTTTTTTTACCTTGCAGGAGTAATAGCTTTTGAAACTCTTTAAACTGTAGAAACTGTGAGTTCAGAATAATTGGGAGCATAGGCCATGTGTAGACTAAACGAGGGGTGTGTGTGCACAACACTCTTTAAAGTGGGCTAAATGCTTTTGCACTGCTTTAATGGTGTTGGTGTTTGCATAACTTGGCGGCGTATTACGCATTAATTCCAGTCGCTGTAGGAAATTGGACGGCGGAATTCACCTTAAATGACTTGAGGGCACAGCAAACTAAAACTCCTTGGAGGAGTTTCAGTTTGCTGCACCTACAGCCGTGGAGCGAAGCACTGGACTCCGTGCAGCTCTGCAGGAAGCCCTTGGAGCCTGCCTGTCTGCCTAAGCCGTGCGGTCTCCCTCTGTTTCCGTCCTTGGCTCTGATGCCTCCTGGGCCCACCCGAGCTGGGTGCCTGTGGGCGGGTGCTGCCTGGGGGAGGGGCCGCTGCTGGTGCAGAGGGAAGCACCAGCACCGCTGCAGCCCATGAACCACTCTGCCCACTGGCAACTCACCCTCCCCTCCCTGCCGCCGGTAAGTCAGCAGGGTGTGTGCGCGACATGGGGGTTTAATCGGCCCTAAATTGAAGCAGTGTTTTTAAAAATCCACTGCTTCAGTTTAGGGCTCCCGTTTCGTCTACACATACCCATAGATACAATCACACGGTTACTACCACAACATACCATATTTTCTTGCATACCACACACCCCCCAAATAAGAAATGTACCTGTTTTTGGGAAGTCAGAATGACAAAAAAAAAAAAACGATGTGTCTGGATTTGAAGCTGCGTAGAGTAGAGAGAGAAACTAATTTTTAGTTCGCTTATCCTCCCTTTCCTACTCAGGAAGAAGCTGCAGTTTTAACCCTTTCACAGTTGAATTGACAGCACCTCTTGGCTAGATGGCCAAAAGCTGAAACTGTAGCTATTGCTAAAGACTGGGTAGATTTAGGATTTTGAAAAGAGTTAAAACCTCCTGCTTGGCTGCAAAATCAGAGGGAAAAAAAGGGTCCAGGACTAACTAACAACAAAATTGGTCAAAGAATAGTTTTAGTGGAATATCAAGACCATTACAAAAGGAGAGGGTTGTTAACACCTGTGGAATGAAGAGCAGTTAGCAGGATCAGGTAGACCGCAGTGAACCATTTTACTCCATCAGCACTGCCTGAATAGAAATGCCACTGCTGCTTTGTGTAGTTGGTTTTAAATTTTGAGTTGAGCAGGAATTAAAGCAGGATGTGACTGCACCTCTCTCCCTTTAGTTTGCTCCTGCTGGACTCTGACCTGTCTTTATGCAGCTGCTGGAGGGAAGCGAAGGAAAAGAAACAGCATCCTTTTTATGGCATCTCTGTACTTCTATTCTGAGTGGAAAATCAGCTTAACACAGACGCTCCAATTTTGAAGGACTAATTTTTGAACAAAAATGTTGTTGTATTCAAGGAAATATGGCAGTTAGCACTCAGATGAAATTACTTCTTCTACCAAGAATTAATTTGCCAGTTATGCTGCAAGAAAGAATTTCACAGTGGAGCTGCAGATCTCGTTACATGAATGCATCTGACTTACAGCAGAGTCAACCACCTATGTTGATAGACTGTAAAGTAGTATAAGAAACAAAAAAAAGCCTTTCAGGTTTCTCTGACATTTCAGTTTATTCTACTCTTCTCTTATGTCTTATGATAACATTAAAACTAGGGTTGGGTATTTGACCAGTCAGATAAAATAAAGTCAGTTGACCGGTCAAATTGTAAAAATAAATAAATTAATAAATTTGCCAACATGTCCAAATAATACATCGGAAAAGTACAAATTTTCCATTAAGAAATGTGTCAAAAAATATTTCTGTAAAGAAAACTACAAAAAATATAGTGTTTTTTAAAAAATTGTTATAATCTTTGGCTGCTTGCAAACACTGCTGCGCCCCCCCCTGTTTACCAGAAGAAGCAGAGCCTTACTTCAACCCAGCTCCGCAACATCTGTATAAATCAGGCACTTCAGTGGTGCTTTTTGGTGCTTTTTTCTAATAGCTGATCCAATCAGCTATTAGATAAAAGTGTCAAAAAGGCCCATTAAAATAGTGGTTCTCAAACTTTTTTGTACCTGGGCCCATTTGTAAACATCGATGGTCAGTCCTGCTCCAGTACCCCTCACTTTTGACCTGCTGCTGCCCAGGCCCCAGCCCCCCTGTTTGTGGAGCAGGGTCTGTATGTGTGTGTGTGGGGGTGGGGGGGGTGTTGTATGGAGGCCTCAAGCAGCCCCTTCCAGGCTGGAGTTCTGCCAGCATGCAAGGGAAAAGCAACAGTTTCCCAGATTTTTCTCTTTTAAAGGAGAATCTATTTTTAAAGCTTGTTCGCAACCCTTTCATGTATTTTTGTGACCATGGCTTGAGAAACGCTGCACTAGAGCGCCTGATCTATAGATGTTGGGAAAGCTGGGTGCAGCTAATGCACTGCTTCTTCTGG